CAGCCAAAGTGGGCGTCCCCTTCGAATTAGAATCCAAGAACACAAATCAGCCGTAAAAAGACACGATATGTATTCTTTAGTATCAATGCATATAGACAATTATGGTCATCAATTTGATTGGGATAATGTCAAAATCTTAGGCAAAGGAAACACGAAAAGTGCCAGGGAATTCCTAGAAGCCTGGTACTCAAACGAAAATGCTATTAACAAACACTTTAATATAGACGAAATATACCAACTAATAAAAAGTAAATCAGGTGACCAGAAAGTTTAAAATCCAAGTCAATAGAAAATGGTCAATACAGATGTAAAGATGGTTACCGGAAGACACAATTACATCACGCATGAAATTTAAATCATTTCACTTTATGCTAAATATTGCGCTGAAGATGTTGTCCAGAAGGACGACGAAAGCTCCGCAACTAAACCAACAAGCTCAGAGAACACTATTAATTGCAAACTATTTCATACTAAACGGAATAAAACATAAAATTTGAACAAATTTACCTACTTACATAATTATTTGTCAATATATGATTATATATATATATATATATATATATATATATATATATATATGTAACATGTAACTATGTATAAATGCAAATGTATTTTTCTTTTCTTAATTACAGGGCCGACTGAATTACTTTGATAGTACACCACTAGGTCGTATTGTAAATCGTTTTTCATCTGATGTTGGCACTGTGGACGATGCGTTACCATTCCAACTGAATATACTGTTGGCTAGTTTAGCTGGATTATTGGGTGCATTATTTATTGTTTGTCTATCTTTGCCAACTTTAATCTTCTTCCTGTTACCGCTTGTATTTATTTTTTGGTCTATTCAAAGACAATATCGTGGAGCTGCTAGAGATTTGAAAAGAATATCAAGGTTAGTAAGTCAGGTGGGGGAGGCGGTTGTGGGGTATTTTTCAGTGTGATTTTTTCAGTACTGATTAACTGTGTTGTTATATCCTGGTTTGTGTTTCACCTGTTTTGCGGTTTTTATGAGTAATAGTCTTATTAACTATCAAAGCCTTTGAAGTGAAGACTATCTGCCGTCACTGATGATGATACTCTTTTTTGTGGTGGACTGGATCACGCGGGAGACCGTGGGGAGGTGGGTCGAGAAGGCAGGAATATGTTTGGTCTTCAAAAAAACTAGAAGATTTAGACTTCGTGGATAATTATGGTATAGTATCACACAAACTCGAGGGTGTATGCGCGAAAACCAACAACATAGAAAAAGAAGAAGAAGCTACAAAGACAGGTCTTCAAGCAGACGTAGAAAAGACAGAAGTGATGAAGATGCCTAATCAACAACAACAAAAAGTACCGGTCGCCATCAACGAGAGAGATTCAAACAAAATCACTTCCTTAACTTATCTAGATGGCATCATTTCAATCACAAGTCTGACGGATGTTATAACTTCACTGTAATGAATAAACTCCGTCGCCAATTAGTTATATCTGCGCTGCTAATTGTTATGACGGTAATGAACTTGACTAGTACGCTTATACGTCTATTTATCCGTTGTACCCTCTGACTCACTTGAGCCACGTGAATATCAAAAGACAAAGGCTCGTCTGTGACTGTAGGATATTGTATATTCTAGGAAGAACACATCATATTTATACATTTTATTTACCACAGTACAGTAGGCTGACAACCGTGGAAATGGATTGTTCTTATTGGCTGAAAGTGTCTATTCTGATTGGTTGGTGGTCCGACGAACACGATGAATTGATGACCACACACTAAATCACAATATGCATGAGAAATAATACATTCACATAGTAACTCCATCACACAAGATAATCACACGATTCGTGAGAAAGGATGATATACTACTTTATGCTGGATCCTATCAACGAATTAGGATGTCACAACAGCCTGTCAGGGTCGGGAAAGCAAGACAGACCTAGATTAGGTCTGAAATCATCGCGGAAATCTGCTGCACTCAAAACAAAGAATAAGATTTGGATTTTCAACACTAATGCTTCTATATGATACATAGACTTGGCCTGTTATCAGAGGCATTTCCAACAGTCTGCTACACACTTTTATCAACAGCTGTTTTCGTTAGCCCATTAGTGAATATCAGTTGTCTGGTTGGAAAACATTAGCAATGATGAACTCTTGGAACGAACCGACCAACAGCATATTGCCAAACAAATATTCCGATGGATATGGAGTTGAACCAGGCACACACACAGGGGAGACCATAGAGTTACATCCCTCATCTTGCCTTTGAATGGAGCCCAAATGGAAAACGACAAGTTGTGCATGAGTTTGATGGTGATATGGAGGGGATGAGAGCTTATGGACAATCTTGGAACCTGCTGAAGAGGACTGTAGAGCACAGGGTGAAATGGAGATGTGCTGTTGGACCCCTATGTTCCACTTGTTACCTGAAGGAATAACAGCAATAATAACTAGTATTTATATCTTATTCGTTGTATACTTGTAGTTATGTTCATAAATAGTCACCTTGATCCTGTATCTTAGTGAGAAATTCTGTCATAATAAATACAAGTAATCATCTACGTTGTATTTGAAGCCCTTCAATGTGAACTATGCATCAGGGTTATTGAAACTGACACTGGCGTGTGCTACTGATAATATTTATCAGTATATATAAAGAGATGTTCATCAACACAAAAATATCAAATATTGAAGTGAAAGACTTGACGTCAAAAACAGCAAATGAACTAGAGTTGCAGCAAAGCATAGTAGAGGTGAAAAGAAGACGTAGAAATATAATATGGAGGGCGGAAGAAGCACAACACGGAAGATCTATGCAAATGATGATTTTCATATTAGGTGTACATAATTTCGCTGTATGGAGAGATTGAATTGCAAATAAACATTCCGTTATCAAGTCTCTTGTCTCCTTCCATTACACCACCTATACACTCAAGTTTGAAAGAGAGCATAAACCTTCCTTAAAAAGATAATTGATTTCTAGATATAAAGTTGGAATTTAAAAATTTCAAAAACCTTCAGAATCACGAAATGCAAATTACCGGAAGAATTCGACAACAAGAAATCTCTCTCGTACAGCATTATTGTACCTAGTGAAGAAGGACAGTGTTTAGGAGATTCAAGAGCGTTTATTTCCCTCAAGTTTGCCCACGGATTGATATAAGTTAGAAAACCATTGAAAATCAGCAGGGACTACTAGACAGCTAGCTACTTCGCCCTAGTTCCGAACTCATCTACAGTACGCACTCACTGACAGGGTTCAAACCCAGAGCTGTCCGGTGACAAGGAAAGCTCGTAGACCATTCAGCCACTGAGACCCAACTCAATGACCAACCTATGAATTCTAACTTATATCAATTCGTGTTTTTTATCATGACTGGCACCAGCGAATGTCATACGCGGCGAGTATTTGTCCTCACTCCCAACCGAGTGGACCTAACTGGGTTAGTCACGACTTCTGACTAAAAAGACAGGCAACCGGCGGTAAATTTACTAATACAGAGCCAATCCAAGAAACCAGTTCAGACAGGCCGTGTGCGACCGGCCTCAAGCAGTTTTCCCCTAGGCTCTGCGGTCACGCAACACTTTCTTTCTGTTCCGAGTACCGGAAGAATCAATCAACATCCGCGGTGTGGGCAACCGGGAAATAAAACATAAGGATGACTAGATTATCTTAAATAGTATATATATATATATATATATATATATATATGTATTGTAAAAGCGAAGTGTCTCGTAAAAAATGAACAATCTTGTTAATATATGTGTAAAACTTGGGCACTGTGGTAGTAAGTAATTCCATATTAGTTTGTTTATTAGGTATGTCACACAGTGAAACAGTATTATTTACTGGATGACGTTTCGAACAAAATTTATTGTTTATAATCATACCAATTGTCACAATCTTGTTGTTAGGGTGATAATTGCGTAATCAGAGGTGATAAAATACAGCGATTAGAACTTGTAAGATTGGAAAATCAAAGCTTGGTGTGTACGAATTCGAATAAAGAAATAATGATGCAAGTGAGTAGAATTCAAAGTATGTAAAAACCAAGTCGAAAAATGGTTGAAAAAAATTAAGTGATGAAATCAGAAGACAGAAAGTTACTAAGGTGAGTGTTACCAGGGGGTAACTGATATCACAAAACAGATTACTTCTGAACACATAGGCCAGGTTTCAACCATTTTACTGCGATAACATCAGCAGACCAAAAAAGACTTGGGCTATTTTGTCCGTTAATTATTTCGAATGCTGTCAATGCGTCTTCTCGGTATCCTGAGTCTAGTAGGTGTTTGATAATTGACGAGCTCAAAAGTATTCGGTCGCTGTAGTCGAAGGTTCCTTCGTATATATTTAAAGAATTTGACATAGACGCCCTTCTCCATGTTCTCCTAGTGTACGTATTCCCGCCTGCCTCTATCTGGATTCAACATAGAACTTGGCACCGAAGTGCAGCAGTTTGAGTTGCCACGTTCCAAATAGCACACAAAGGTAGACAAGAAGATGAGTGAAGAGAATCAATAGAGTTTTGACAAGTATAAGAGTGAAACAGAATGAGTAATGGTAGAAAGGAATATGAAAGATTACACAGACTGGATACATCTGCGTAAGCCATTGACAAAGATTTTCAGCCATGTCACCAATTGTCTCCAGCCATTGATTCTTAGAGTCCTGAAGTCTGCATCTCCCTACCTGACTCAGTTTAACTGTCAAGGATTTCATGGATTGATGGCATGTTTTTGTTTGGCCACCACTTACTCTTTTCCAAACTGCACCTATATCCGCTAGTAATGCCCGTCCGTCGGGTGAGGCGATGGTTAGGCATGCGCAGCACATGACCTAGCCATCTCAATCTGTGTAACTTTATAGCCATAGCGACGCGTGAATTGGAATACACATTTGAAATCGTGGAAACATTCAAACAAAAAAGTAACATCGATATTACTTTTTGGTGTGCATATTCGTTTTGTTTTTTCAAACACTGTGTGATTTAACTGACGTAAAAAAATTGTTTTGCACTATTAAGACGCGATTTGTATCGTAGCCTTCAATCATTACATGTTTTTAACAGCTATATAAATTCGTAATAAGTAAGGTCACTTATTGTATGAAATTACATTCACATGTTTCCACTATCCACTTTCTAACTCATTTAACTAATTAACAAAGTAATATTTCTGCATAATCAGTAGCAATTAAGACCATACCACCTTAGTTGTCACACGTATATAACACTATTACTGAATATTTGTTCATACTGCTAACGAAATGATATTTCATGCATTACGGTTTTGAATGTAGGGAGAAAATATATTCGAGGGTACATAATATAAAGTTAATCCTTGGTGGATTCCGCTGCTTACAACTTCTCACTAGCACTTCAAGCAATTTCATCCTGCAGTAGTCAGTCACAAGTGAGAACTGGATTAATTTTCATGTGTTAGTTTGCAGGGATTTGATTGATTTCAAATTTGAATACAAGTTAACTGCAGTTACAGAGCCACTGATAAGCAGAGAGTACTGGACAAGTGTTTCGTCCTTGTTTTGGACTCTTCAGTAGTTCGCATCCATGACACCACCGAGCGTTGAACTCAGGACCTTCAGGTTATAACGCTATTCTTTTGGGAAATCAGGACTAGCGGTATCCACCAAGCTGAGCATGAGGAACGGATGTTAACCAATAATGTTGGCTGGCGGTCGCGAATTCTCAAAAGTTAGAATAGACGCGACAGTGGATTCCGTCCCAACGGCTGGATGATCTACGAACTTACCCTGTAACCTTTTGATTGAACCCTTGTTAGCAGCTAGTGTAATGTGTCTAGTCCTCTTTTTGGTGCAGACTGAATTGTATCAGTCACCTTTGTAATATGGCCGTCATTCTAGGTGGCTCACCATCATGGTGCACTTTGAATTGCAGATATTAGATGGTTGGAGGCAATCGTGACTGATAGAATTCAGTCCGCAGTAAAGAAAGGACTAGACACATCACACTAGTTGCTAATGTCCAATCAAAAGTATCCAGTACAGACCAACAGGAGGTTAGTCGCGAGTTCGATCAGCTCAGCGGGTGACGCAGGTTCGAATCTCAGAAGGGAATGAGTTCCCTCAAGGTTGCAAACTCGTCCTGATGACGAGTGCCAACTAGCACGAAACCTAGGTCAAGCCAGGCTCCCTGTGGCCAGTTGCCTCTAACCATCTAATATTACCCAGTAACCTGAAGGTCCAGAGTTCGATCTCCATTGAACAATCCCAAACTAGGATGAAACAGCTGTCCAGTTCTCTCTTGGTTTTCGACGCTTCTTTAGCTGAGATCAGTTCGTGATCAAACTAGAAATCGATCAAATCCCTGTAAACTAACATTTGAAAAATAAAGTTATTCTTATTTCATCGATTTCTGATAACTGACTTGTGAACTTTCAAACTTAAAATATCCTAAGTGAAATAAAGTGTCGGTATACGTTAAAATAAAGATTTGCACTCAGATTGCTCATACTGTGTTGCTCTCTAAATTTTGGATTGTTTTTTTCTAAAACAGAGAATTCGACTTCAGCGTTATTAATAATCGTCTTGAATTTGTTTGTATTCGACGAAAGCGTCACCAGTGGGACTGTGAAGAAATTAGGCAATGGATAAAAAAAATCACCAAAGACCCCCAATCTAAATCGTGATCCTCATACTATTTTAGTCATTGCTTCAAAACACCCTTACCAATAGTCATAGGAGGTAATTCTTTATCCCCTAATTTCTCCTCTAATTGTATTTAGCTAAATCTACCAATAAGCCTGTTGCATTGAGAGGACTAAAATTGAAACTAAGTCTAATGCAAAATACCTCGGTCTAGTTCTATCTTCCGACCTTACTTGGACATCTCATATCCTAACGATTTCTAAGAAAGTGTTCTGTCTAACCTACTACATTAACTTACTTACTTTACTTCGGCTATCTCCTACGGGAGGATGAGCCGGCTTCATGAACATCTCGAATCATCGCTGCCCAGGTGCGGCGATCTGATGAAGAGAGATCATGAAGTTTCATGGGAATTTGGTACGAGTGATGTCCCCAGAATCACTCGGCCTTTTGTTTGAGAGTGCAGCTCTAGGCTTTACACAACCAAGTGTGACCTACAATGCAGTAGGAGTGGAGTAGGGAGTCCACTATCCATTGGAAACCGGTGACCGGAGTTCGGTTCATGCGCCTTTTTGAATGGGGCCAGACATCCAACAAGCCCTTTATCCATACGTCTGCCGGTGAGCTCCAGTGAGCTTCATACGCCAGTCGTTGGAGGTTTGGAATCAGGGTTTAGCCATCTCCCCTAGACTGTCATCCAATGAACAGCCAACCCGGTGAAGAGCGCCGGACATCCGCTTTCGCCCTCTCACTTTGGTGGAAAACACCTCCGCTATGTGAAGGCAGTGAGTAGGACTTCCTCAGGAGAGGCTATGTAAGACGCCCGGTCATATGGGAGCATTTCAAGAGGTGTGCGGAGGAGTGGCCAACCCACCCCCGACCATCCTGAGGCTTTGGAGGCTACTACATTAAGAAACTTAGACAATCTGGAGTCACCCAACCTCCACATTCACAATTTATCAACTCTTGTATCTTACCTATTCTACTTTACTGCTCCCCGTTAGTCTTTCCTGGTCTACTGAAAAAGGACTATACCATCCTGAGAAGGATGTTGAAGGTGGTTAGTAGGACTAGTGGTGTAAAACTCAGTCAGCTTGTCACTACATTAGGTGAAAAGCATCTAAATACATGCGAAAAAATGGTATAAAAGCATACTCCCCAACACCCCCTCTATTCCCAACTCTCGCCTTGTATCTCATCAAGTGGAACCAGAAATCAGTATAAAACGATCTATGCTTGTACAACCAAGTACAGGAACTCAACGATACCATACTTGGCCCGTGTTCTAAGTGATAGAGACAATGTTAAGCGCGAAACCTATGACTTGCATTGTTGTTAATAACATAATCTTAGGGTCTTTTATATCTCTCTCATTTTGTATTCTATAGTGAACTCCTTCTTAAACATACTTAGCTACCTAAACTATTAACATTGGCTTACTTTTTGTACTTTACTGTATTTCTTCTTTTGTGTATCTTCTGGTTCCGACTATATTAGCACTATGAGTATTACAAAATTGTCCTGTCATTAACCATCATGTAATTATTAGTTTTTGTGGTTGTTGTTTTCTTGTTCGGCAATATTAACTGACAATCATTGGTTGTGAACGCTATTATCACCATCTTAAAAATTATGTATTATGTAGGATTACTCACACCAACCACTACAAACACCTCATTAGACCTGACAATAAAAACCAAAACAACAACCCTAAAATGTTATTTTATGATTGTTTAGAGTTGTTTCAACCAAATTAACTGATCATCTTGTCGATAAACATTCTTAAATATCATTTCATAACTTCTTGTATGACTATAGCTTTACTGTCACCATGCATAATCATATCATAGCTTCCACTACCCAATACTGAGATATTATTATATGCTGTTTATTTTCCTTTCTACTTCTTGGTATTTTTTCGCATTTTTTTTATTATTTTTGTTTGTTTTTGTGTTTTCTTTCTTGTTGTTGTCTTTATATTTATTTTTTTGAAATACTCCTTTTAAACGTTTGATAAAATTAGATGCAAATATTGTAGATATGTGCTGAAAATTCCACACTGTACCACTAGTACTGTTTCTGGAATAAAGCAAATTATTATTATTATTATTATTATTAAGAACTTGATGCTGACATGGCATTCATTGTTTATCAGTCCATATCTTTTTTTTTATTCCTTCACGTTCCCAGTGGAACATAGGGCTTCAAGCTATAGCCAGCTTGAAGTTTCTGTAGCAGTGTTCATTTTTACAGGATGAGGTTGCTAGCCTCATGTCCAACCTTTCCTCTTTACCAGCTTTTATTTCTGGCTTAGTGAGGTAAAGGAGTGCGTCGGCCGGGGATCGAACCCCGGACCATGTGTATGGTCGGCAAGCATCCTAACCACTGTGCCACCGACGCACATCCATATCTAAAGTAATTGTATAACTGATGTATAGATTATTTGTTAAATCTCTACTATTATTCTTATGATCGTTTAGTTTTATTTTATCTCTTTCTCTCTCTTTGTCTTCCTGTTTTCAGTGTTGTCCGGTCACCTGTTTACGCTCACTACACGGATACATTGTCTGGTCTAACAGTAATCCGTGGTCTAGGCCAAGAAATTCGTTTCCGTCAAATAACAGCCTCCAAGTTAAGTGATCAAATACGCGCTGAATTGACGAGTTTAGCTGCTGGTTCATGGTTGAGTATTAGATTACAGTTAATTGGTACAGGTGTCATCGCTTGTGTTATCGGTATATCATTGGTCGGTCGGTTGTTTAACTGGACACAAGTAAGTTATTTTGTTAGCTTGTTGTTCCCCTCTGTGTCTCTTTTAAACGTTCTTATGTAGTTATAGTCCTCCTTTGTGACTGTGACAGTGGTTCAGTGGGTAGAACACTCGCCAACCAAGCAAGTTGTCCGGGCTTCGATCCCTGACCTGGGTCCACTGGTAGTAAACCGGTAAAGTCGGAAGGCTGGGCGTGAGGCTAGCAATCCCATCCCGTAAAAAATTAAACACTAATGCTACTGAAACTTCAAAGCTCTAGTTTGAAGCCCTTCTTTCCACCGAGGACGTAAAGGAATGGAAAATACTAATAACAGTAACCAATTTATGACTGTTTGACAAGGTCATTGAAAGTGAAAGACATGAAGAGGCTAGCTGTTTTTAACCACAAATGTTTGTGTTCTATCTCCTGTGATAAGTGGTATAATATCGTGAGTAATGTTGAGGTTAGGCGTCGAGTGTTAGGTAGGGAAGGAAAATCTATCTATTGAAATGGCTAGGACACGTGTCGTGTGTACCGAGGAATGTTGGCTGACATAAGATTAGGTTTGAAAAGAGGGTGGTCAGTAACGTATCTATAATTACAGCCAGCTATGTAGAGTGGTGTAGACTGCCTAGTTGGGTTCTTCAGGATGCCAAGAAATAATGGTTGTGGACAATTGGTGATACGGCTCAAAATCGTTCTCATTGATGCAGATGCATTCACCACTCTTTGTGATCCTCCCATATCCATTTGAACCCTATTGTCTCTCCATGTTACTCCTCTTTCGAATCTCTTATTTTTTCTCAACTGTCTTGCTTTTGTGTGCTACATGAAGTGTGGCAACTTGACCCAGTGCACTTCTTTGTAAAGTCCTATGTTAAAACTCAGTTATATTGTGACCAGTAGATGAAGCAGGTTGGACGTGAAGACAAATACTCGCCGAAGACATTGGCTAGTGGTCGCGCTATGTCGTGAATTGGCAGAAGTTAGAATTCATGGACTGGCCATTGGATCGAGGTCCCAGTGGTTGAATGAACTACGAGCTCGCCTTGTAATCAGAAGGTCCTGGGTTCGAACCCCAGTGAGTGCGTACTGATGAAGAGTCCCAAACTAGGACGGAGGAAACAGCTGTCCAGTACTCCCAGCTGGTTTTCCAATGGTTCTCTAACCAATGTCAGCTCATGATGAAATCCTGTTACTTGAAACGGACTCTTTTCGTGTGTAACACTGTAGTTTATATCACAGCGTTTATGATCAGTGTAGTTATACACTGAAATCACTGACATCAGGCTTACTTGTTTTGAATTTGTAACGACGGGGTATCTAAGGTTTTGGAATCACTTAAGCTTTCTGTGATAACATCATATGTGATTCAGAGATCCCCTGTGTTGTAATAGCTGTTGAAACGCGTTCTGTTCTACTCCCTAACCATCTATCTCTATTCTTTTGCTTTTCATGTTTTTAGGTTGCAGCTATTGGTTTATCAACTACCTATGCATTGAATATTGCTGGTTTAATGACTAGTACAGTGTATGATATGACTGAGACAGAGAAAAATCTTGTCGCTGTAGAACGTTGTCAAGAGTTGACAGATGATACCCCAATCGAATGTGATACTGTATCAATTAAACCAACAGTTAGTTTGTTTAGTTTGTTTTTTAATGATTTTCTCTCTGACTGTTTTAAAATTTCATTATGGATAAAATTTATTTTGATAAAGTCTCACAGTGTTTGTTATACAGTAATATTTACTGATGACCACGTTTCGAGCACAATTTATTGCTGCTCATAATCATATCAAGGTACTCACACAACTTTCTAACTTCGTTTATATAATTTCATTATTTTTCATCGCTTGACTTGATTGGTAGTAGTATTTTCCATATTTCCGGTATGAGTGATGAGTCATTCCTATTGCATGTGTTGGGTGTAGACTCGATGAACAAGGATTCAGTAATCAATCTCTCTCTCCACCTACTTATATTACTTCTTAGAATTTTAACCCTCTCCCACCCTATTGTGTGATTGTGTGTTAATGCATGCAGTGCAATCGCTGAGCTTTTTTCTAAATTACTTATCTTCTCGGGGTCAACCATTCTTACCTTAGCTAAATTCTTATGTTCTGACAATCTGACTACCCCCGATCTACTAGTTTGACCTATGTAGTTGACTTAACTCACAGTCATTGCAAGGTATTTTGTAAATTATATTATTTTGTTTAATTGGGTCAACTGGGTCCTTTAACCTACAGAGCTTGTCCTGCCTGAGTGAGTTTGTAGGTTTGAATGCCACCCTAATTCCTGCTTTGTTGAGAATCCTACGTAGGGTCTCAGATGTCCCCTCCTTATGTGGTAGAACTGTAGATGCCTTATATTCTCTCTTATTTATGTTATCATTATTAGTTTCCCCATTATTTTTATTTTGTTTTTGACCTTTTCTGATCTTCCTAATGAATTTTATAGGATAGTAGTTATTTGACACCAACGCTTCTTCTTCTATCTGTTTTATTTCATCATTTAGGTTTTTTGTTGTACTACTTAGTGTTGTTATTGCTCGGTTTGTTAGACACTTAACTAAGCCTGCCTTAACAGTTAACGGATGAATTAAAATCTAAATATCTATTAGAATGTGTTGGCTTTTTATAAACGCATAAAAACATCTTATTTCCCATCTGATTGTATTTGATTGCTAACACTAATATTATTTCTGAATGTACATTATCCTATACTGATTTTTATTCAAATGTCTAATCAAATTTTACTCATGTATATAAATGAAGCAAAAAAGTTGATATGATTATGAGCAATAAATTGTGCTCGAAACGTGGTCATCAGTAAATATAACTGTATAACACTGTGTGACTTTATCAAAATAAATTTTATCCATAATGGAATTATACTCTACCACAATGCACAAGTTCTATTCTTATATCAATGTTTTAAAATTTCATGTATATTTGTATGTTAAACTAAGCTGTATTCATTGCTTTTTAAAGAGTGGGATTTTACAAATCCCTACAAAACTAACTCCCGAAGATTAATCTGATGCTCGCTAGTGACTGGCTCTACAGGGCGAAGTTGCCTGGAGTTCTGTTGAGAAGTCGTGACCAGTAGAGTCCACCAGGTCGTTGAGGCGTGAGGACAAATATTCACCAGTGACACTGGCTGGTGGTCCCAGTAGCTGAATGGTCTACGAGCTTTCCTTGTAACTGGAAGGTCTTACGTTGGAACCCCCGGTGGTGGGTGTGTACTGCTGAAGAGTCCCAAACTAGGCTGATGAAACAGCTGTTCACTGCTCTCTGTTGGTATTCCAATGGTTCTCTAACTGATGTGAGCTCGTTTGCAAACTTGAAACAAATCAAATCCACACAAACTAACTCTTGAAAACACATAGCCTCTTAATTTTTTGAGAATTTGAGTACGAAAATATTTTATTAAGTTGTACAGTTTATCCCTAAAAGTAATAGTTTGATTTTACAAGGGTTTAATTGAATTACAACTGTTTATGTACTAGATGAAGTATTGTGTAGTTCATTGGTGAAGATGTAGCTATAGCATTTGTCTTTTAGCCAGTGTGTGTGTGTGTGTTAAGGTTCAAGTCTCGTCGCATCTACTTCAGCTTCAGGGACTAGGTAGTGTCGTCAAGTCTGATACATGGAAAATCTGGTCATGGTAGCCAGGTCTTAACAGTTGTCTATCGTTTATGGTACTTATTGATAAAAGAGGGTCAATAGGCGGTGGGGGGGGCATTATCTGAAGTCCTTACGTGTACAGTAGTATGTAGCGAGTCTATGATATACATTATTAGATCTTCATAACACTGGTTGGAAGAATTTTAACATAAAGTCTGATAGCTAGCAGTAAAGCTGGAATCAATCGTATAGATGTTATGTTATAACTTAGTTGCCGGGATCAGATTCCTCGGGTACTAGGTTGTGTGCAACACTTTTTTTGTGAGGTCTAATGATACTAGACAGTTGCCCAGATTAAAGATGGTAGAGCGGTATTCGAACCCTAAACACACTGTCTGAAAGACGACTACTTAGACCACTGTGCTATATCTCCACACTGTTTAAGTAGAGAAAGTCGTCTGTTGGGGAGGTAATAGACTCGAGTCACCTGTACGATAACTTCTCATCAATATTGCAAAAATATAAGTCCTCACTTAATGCCCCTATTAAAGTAATATATTAGTAACCCTTCGTTTCTCTTTCATTAGTTAAGGACAATTTCCCTCCCAGTAAGACACTCTACTACATCCTATTTTCTCCCTTCGGTGTTATGTAAGGCGAAAATTAGATGCAATATTGTATTACATGCTGAGAATTCCACGTTATCAAGTATTGGTTTTGTAGGAATTTTGTTTGATTGGTTGGAGGATTCCATTGGATAGAGTCCCAGTGGATTAATGGTCTACGAGCTCGCCTTCTAATCAGAAGGTCTTGGTTTCGAACCCCGACTGATCAGCACTAATGAAGAGTCCCAAACTAGGACGAAACAGCTGTCCTGTATTTCCAGCTGGTTTTCCAGTGGTTCTCTAACTAATGTCAACTCATGATGGAATCCTCCAACCAATTCCAAGTTATATCAAAAGTACTGTTGGGGAATGAAGCCATTATTATTATTATCTCAATAATAACCCACTGTTATGCATTTCTCACGATTATATTTCTAAAGGCACCTCAACCTCGTTCTTCATCACATAATCATCTTCGTTTACCGAAACAACGAAAAAGTGGTATTACCTATCCAATTGGAGTACCCTTCAATTGGCCAGCATCAGGATCTATTTTCTTCAATAACGTTTCACTAACATATCGTCGTCACCAGTGTCAATCAACTGTTGAACAACAGTCAATTAAAGCTTTAGAAGAAATCAATTTCACTGTGAAACCAGGTGAATGCGTCGGGATTGTTGGACGTACAGGATCTGGTAAAAGCAGTCTGATTAAAGTGTTAATGCGTCTGGTTGATCATCTCCCCGGACCATATACAAATGAGTATGTAGCTAGTCAAACAGGATTTGTAGGTGCTACTGGTGAGGTATGTTTTTGCTTCTTATCTGCATCTAAATTGATGTCAATATTTACACATTTTTTTTAATATCGAGAGTGTATTTCTTTTCGCTTGTATTTTAAATATGCTGTTTCTTTTGTAACATAAATATCGGCTAGGGTAAAATTACTGGGGTTTCCGTCACAGTACATTATAAGGAATGCAGCCCTTAGGTGTATATCTTCCAAGCTGCACGTGATTATGTCCTAGTAACCACTTAGTCGGCAGCTGACCTCTTGTGGCTCTACAATTATATATATATATATATATATATATATATAATTACTCAGAAGTGGCTTTAGAAGTGAAACTTAAAAGTTGTAAATTACGTGGTACTCAACGGAACAAAGATAGAAATTTGATAAGGTTAAAATTTCTATTGAGTGAGAATAAAGGTATTTGAGTGTCAATTTAACAAGTGTGAAGAGGGTGTAAAAATATACAAAAGATTTATCGAGAAAAACATGAAGTTAAGGGATAAGTCTGAAAGAATCCAGACGGTGCCACAGAAACTGCTATTTATGAGTGTTGAATTTAAAGGTGATACCGCAGTTGAGATCCTAAAGAATCGCTTATGCAGATAACTGAGGAAAGCCTTCTCTATGGCTCAGCTACGTATCAATTTCTACAGCCGACAAATGATCAACGGATGTGTGAAGGATAAACTGCCGCTTTGGACCACCTCAATGTGTGTTTATAAATTCACCTGCTCGTGTGTGGAGCTAGTTATATTGGCCGCACAAAGTGCACGCTTTCCAAACGCTCCTCTGAACATCTTCCGGCATGGTTGTTAGCAAAGGGACAATGTAAGACAATTACTAGCTCAATTCTCGAGCATTTGGTGAACTCAGGCCACGTAGCTCCACCAGAATCGTCTTTCAAGATCATCTACGAAGTGAAGCCAAATGGTACAAAGGGCGTCAGGTTTCGGCTTTTGTGTATGGTGAAGGCGCTGGCAATTCATCAATACAACCCTGAACTCTGTATACAGAAAAAGTTTGTCCAGTCTCTTATTCTACCTTGGTCTTAACCTCTTCACTAATCGTTCCTTGTAAATAAAAAATTTTTATTTTTTCTTTTCATTTTAATTTTACTTTTAGTTTGCTTTTGCTTTAATAATTAATTCACTATTATCACTCTCATATGCTCCTTTTGTATATTTTCACACCCTCTTCACACTTGTTAAATTGACACTCAAATACCTTTATTCTCACTGAATAGCAATTTTAAACTTATCAAATATATGTATATATATATATATATATAAACAGAATATTCTAGAATAGTAGTCAATAATAATATTAGTGTTTTTTTTTTAATAATATCGATTTGTTAAGTAAGATCAATGGAATTACAGTTCACTAAAGATGCACAAATTATAATAGGCATAAAAATGTAACAGCAAATAGAATATCAGGTAAAATTAAGGAGATTTCCACAACAAATTGAGGATCATTGGAACCTTGATGGCCAAGGTACGAAAAGTGTCTGAACCAACTTCTTTTGGATACATAAGTTAGCTTTCTTAATGTGGATCCCAACAGCCAGTCTCAGCAATATGTAGTAGACGAACTCTTAAGAAGGTAAAGTTAAGATTAGTTGGTATGTGGCAGATGACTTTGAAAGCAGCCTCGTTGACATCAATCTTGTGTCCTGTATCCATGAGATGAGATAGAATAGAGCTATGAGTGGATTTTGTTTGTCCCTTACCTAACCACGGAGGATGGTGTTCGTAAATCTAACAATAAAGATGTCTAATTGTACGGTCTATATACCTGGCTCCACATGAGCAGTTAAATTGGTAGATACACATAGAAGAGGCGAGATCAGGCAGTTTATCTTTATCTTCTGAACGCAGAATAGGGGTGGTTTTGAAGACACTGCATAATTTTTACCGTTGTATCCCTTAGGCGTTGTTATCCCCAAGAAACTGAAGTTGTAAGAATAAGGCCTTTTTTGGAACTGGTTGGTACTTCGGCCTGCCTTGACTTTTGATTAATATTCTCCTCGATGAATTTCTATGGGTAGCCATTCTCACTCAGCAACTCTTTAATAGTAATAATTGCGAAGTTAGATAAAGAAAGACATATCAAATTTAAAGCACAATATGATATCATCGTATTCTACAGGTTCTCATCATCTGAAAACTGCCTGAAACTAAAATGGTTACAAATAATAACAATAACATGCTTCGATGTTTGAATAATAGTAGAGAAAACTTTATGAAGAATTAATGCATCCGAAATGGAAGTATTACACTTTTTTAGTTTAAGTTACTATCAGTTTATACGCTTTCAAAATAGAAAAGGATGTAGGTGGAGGGAGAAATCACAAAAATCTAATAAATAGTGTCTCCCGTTAAAAGGTGAAACGGTATCGCAAATGATTGACAAGAGAATGAAAGGAGCAATAAAAAAATTCTTCCGTGCAGCTAAGCTCGTAACACTACACAGCACCACATGCTATATAAGCCTATTTAAACTGGAAGAGTATCCTACTGATGTCACTTCGAATTGTGCCTATAACTTTATGTGCACTTGCTGGAGGAAGTACATTGGAAGAACAGAAGGAAGGGCTTCTGTCTGGTTTTCCAAGCATATCATCCCAAACAAAACTTATGCCTAAAGGAGGAAAGCAGATATTCGCAAAGTGCAATTATCATACGCCTTGTGGATGCGGATCATTTCATTGAGATTTCCAAATCTTCCAAAATATTAGACAATAAAAAGAACAGAAAATTTACTACGATTCTCTGAAGCGATTGCAGTCATTCATCTCAAACCAAACTTATGCATACAGAAGGAGAATGTAATCAATCTCTCACACTGCCTTGGTAACTGGATTTTGATTACATTGATTAGTCATCCATATTAATGATTTCAGCTCATTGAGCAATTTTTCCACCTTCTTAACTATAACCTTTTTGAGTTGCCACGTGTATTAGATTTTTCTATTTCGCTGTCGTCTTTTCTACTTTGAAAGCACATAAACTGATGGCAACTTAAAAATTCTAATGTGTACATTTAGAATGCGTTAATTTTTAATGACATTTTCTCTACTACCATTCAAACATTGATGTATGCTATTGTCATTCTTTTATAATCATTGTAATTTCATGTAGTCTACAGTTAGATGATGAGAACCTGTGAAGTAGAATGATATCATATTTGTACTTCAAATTTGATCTTTCTTTATTGAAATTTGTTAAGGGAACCATGTGTATGAAATGGTGAAGTGCATCACCGACCCGCGCTTTTCTCTCCCTTATAGGAAAATCCCTAATTGAAATGGAAATTTCAGTCCCATCTCCTTCTAATTCATTGATTATGTTACTCATAAACGCTCAACCTTTTGTTAATTGTTTGAAATTAAAGTCCTTGTAAGAACAATAAAGTAACAAACGATCATGCAATAATTACCTCTCTAAGAGAAACTCAAGTTTAGTCAGCTCAAATGAAAGGCAGTACAATTTGAACGAAAGTGAAGACACCAGATAAATGATATCAAATTGCTGGTGTCTAATATATAATAGCGCCCATATTACTCTCTGGAATTGAATTACATTCGTTCGCATTAGAAAATTGTAAAGCTGAAGACTTGACTAAGTGCATTATTGTTATGAATTTTTTGAAAACCAATAGACCAATGGTCCTGGTATCCACTTGTCCGCTAATATACAATTACAACTGCCACGATCGCTGTCGTGACGTCACTTATGCGGTGGGAATCAATTCCATCCAAAATAATGACATCAAAATTTGTCTCAAAATATAGAAAAGTTTTCGACAGGTGCATTACTCCGTGTCACGAAAAACTGCCTCAGACTTTCATCAACAACTGCCTTTCCTGGCTCCATACTAGAGATCACATGACCAGACAAAAATGATTGACAACAAGAAACTTTGGGAATGAACCAACAAACATTCCGAAGAAAATGGAGTTAAATTGGACATACTCTGAGTAGATCGTTGGGTGAAATCACGCACCAGGCCCTTGAATGAAAGCCGAATAGGAAACAATAAAGTGGACGTTCGAGGTTGGCGTGAAAGAGATAAGAGCTAATCGACAATCCTGGAGCCAGCTTAAAAGGACTTCAGAGAGTAGAGTGAAATGGAGATGTGCTGCTGAAGACCTGTGTTCCACTTTGGAACCCAAGGGTTAAGGCAAAAACCTATCAAAGCTATAACTGGAAGCATGTAATGGATTGCTGATAAAATATTGGCACCGTCGAAACATTCACTACGGAACAAATAGCCAAGACTTCTGTTTAGAAGAAGACTAATAGTCATCCTGGGTCAGTCTTATTAGTTTTTGGTGTACTTTGAATATATTTGTTAGTGCATTCCTCTGTTTACAACTCCTATTCGCGATGAACTATCCTTTATATATATAAAATAATTTATTCTATTCTCAGGTGTTTGTCGATGGAGTAGACATTCGTACTGTTCCTCTCGGTCTTCTACGCTCTCGAATTCTATCTGTTTGTCAGGAACCATTCCTTTTTTCTGGATGTTTACGGGATAATCTAGATCCTGAAAAGTTAGTTTTCCTTTTCAAATTACTAAAATACTTTCAGTAATTTTCATTAATTCTTAATAATTTTAATCAATCATGATAATCTAGAAGATGTGATTGGGTGTATCGTAGAACTGTTCAGGCTGATACTGAACTCTAGGTTCTGCTTGGCAAACCATTCAGTGTTAAACTAGAGTGTTAGACATTATTTAATAGTGTCCAGACCCTTGCAACTGTCAGTTCAAATAGTGTGATAATGTAGAACAATTAAGTGATGCTTACTTTGTATGGCAAATTGGTTAGCGATATGCAAATCATGAATCTGATGTATGCTATGACCAGTTCGACCAGGTGGCTAGCCAGAAATCTGCTAGTTTGAAATGATTCGCCTTTCTGAACTGAGTCAGATAGGGTACACCGTTGATGAGCTCGGTTCCAAAAGAGCGAAGAGGCCGTCCGGTGTTTACATCTGGCTAGCAGGCACTATTGATTGTGATATGAGTAGTATGCAACTGACTACTCGTGACAATCAATCAGTAGTATACAGTTCCTTAAACATTTAAGATTTTTTACTGTAATGATTGTAAAAACTATCGGGAAACACTTCCTTACCTTTACTGACAACCAATCTCCCTTACATGAAAGTTAGCTCCAGTCAAGAATTAACAATTAACACGTTTGTTCTGAAAAATGCTTTTATACATATTTCAGAATTCTCAGCATGTTCTATTGCAAAGTGTATAATTACTCTACTTATTCAAACTACCAAAGAAAGGGGACTTAGGTCAATGCAAGAACTGCCGCGGAATTATGCTCCTATCCATCCCAAGCAAAATACTAAGTCGCATCATCCTGGAGAGAATCAAACATACCCTGGATGAAAAACTTCGACCGGAACAGGCTGGATTCAGGAGAAACAAGTCATGCATCGATCAGATCGCCACATTACGGATCATCATTGAACAAAGTTTGGAGTGGCAGTCACCTCTCTATCTCAACTTCATCGACTTTGAAAAGGCCTTTGACAGCGTCGATCGAGAGGTGATTTGGCAACTACTTCGCTACTACGGGGTGCCACCGACAATTATACATCTCATCCAACAGCTATACGACAATGCTGCATGCCAAGTAATCCACAACGGGAAACTTACGGAATCCTTCGAAGTGAGGACAGCATTAAGACAAGGCTGGCTGCCTGCCTACTATCTCCAGTAAGTTTCCTGACTGCAGTAGACTGGACAGAGGGCCGCGTAACGAGGAGACAGGCATAAAATGCACCTACACAAAAAACTTGGAGGATATGAACTTCACCGATGTGATAGGCCTTCAGGTAAACATAGAGAAAACAGAGGTGATGAAGATTCCTGGCGAACAGCAACAACCACAACAACAGATAACAATCAGCGTAGGCGGGAGAAATCTGAAAAAAGCAACCTCCTTCACCTATCTACCTAGGAAGCATCATTTCAACTACAGGCGGACGGAACTGATGAGGATATCAAAGCGAGGATCGGGAAAGCAAGGTAAGCTTTCATTACTCACAAGTCTGTGTGGAGGTCAACAGCATTCGGTATGAAAATGAAAATAAGATCCGGATTTTCAACTCCAATGTGAAGTCAGTGCTACTTTATGAATCAGAAACTTGGCGCGTCGTGTTGCAGTAACGTGTTGTTATGATGTACGTGTGTATGTGCGTTCATCCCTGATTGTGTAAACTAGCTGTTCTGTTTGCTTAATTATTCACTTCGTTTATCTCCTCATTTATCTATCCCTTATAGTCAGCTAGACGACTCGACTTTAGAAGATGCATTGCTTACTTGTCAACTGGCTGGAGATCGTTTACAAGCCTCTGAATGGTTAACACGTAATGTTGGAGAATCAGGACGTGGTATATCTGCTGGTCAACGACAGTTGATTTGTCTTGCTAGAGCTTTACTTCGTCAACCTCGACCAAAAATTATTTGTTTGGATGAAGCGACTGCTTCAATAGACGATAAGTGTGAAGAAATTATTCATGTAAGCTTTGCTGTGTTTTGTTTTGCTTTTTATTTCATTATTTTACTTTTCAACTAATAATAATAATTTAATTTACTACAAACAACATTCTGTCTTGGAAAGGTTGTTTTTAGTTTGTCACTTAGAGAACCATTAAAAACCAGTGGAAGCTCTACTGAACAGCTGTTTCATCCAAGTTTGAGACTCGTCGGTAGTACGCACCCAACAGGATTCGGATTCAGGACCTCTCAGTTATCAGGAAAGTTTGTAGGCCATTCAGTCACTGGGACCTGATTCAGTAACCAGCCCATGATTTCCAACTTCCAGCAAATTGATGCTTGCTAGTGACTGCCTATAACACGAAGTTAACTGAAGTTCATGAGCCGGCTATTGAGTCGGGTCCCAGTGACTGAATGGTCTAAGAGCTTGCCTTGTAACCAGAAGGCTCTGGGTTCGAACCTCCTTTCGGTGGGTGAGTACCCGATCCAATAGCCCATGAATTCCAAATTCAGCCAATTAATGATATAGCGCGACCAGTAGCCAGTGCCATCGGCGAGTATTTGTTCTCACACTCAACCTGCTGTATCCCACTGGTCACAACTTTCCACTAGAACCCCAGGTAACTAACTACGTGAATAGGGCCAGTCACTAGAGAGCATCTCATTAGTATTCAAGTATTGGTTTGTAGGATTTCATCATGAACTGACATCGGTTAGAGAACCACTGAAAACCAGCACAGAAGTACTGGGCAGTTGTTTCGTCCTATTTTGGGACTCTTCATTGGCACCCATTCATAGGGGGTTCGAACCCGGGACCTTCTAGTTACAAGGCGAGCTCGTAGACCATTAGGTCACTGGGACCCAATCCAATGGCCTCTTTTAAATTCTGAATCCTTTATACAATTCGTATTGTCTCTTATGTTCATCTTTTTTTTCCCTTTCATTTACATGTCTGTATATGATTAGCAAATATTGGAACGAGAATTTAAAGGAGCTACTATATTACTCATAGCCCATCGACTTTCTTCTATCAATCGGCTGTGTTCACGTGTTATAGTTATGCAATCTGGACGAATAATTGCAGATGGTCCACCAGAAGAAACACTCTCCACTGTATTTAAGCACATCAAAGCTACAGATCTGATTACATTATGAACAGTATTTATTTATAATTTTCTCTTATAGATCTGACTTTTGTTATTTGAATCTCATTATTATTATAATATTCTTTTTTTTTCTTGTTTTTTAAATATATAGTTTGTTGTTTTATTCTCATGCCTAACTGATATTCACTTGTTATGCCATGATGATGATTGCCTTCAACTCCTTATTAATAATAGGTACTATAGAACGTCTTGTTAATAATGTCGCAATAATAATGCCGCGTCACTGAACAGCAGATCTACCCAGCTTATCATATACAACTACGATTAGTTATCAAGCTAAATAAAAGTTTACAGAATGTACTCTTATTGACTGACCTTAATGGTGGTACATTTTAGTTTGTAGGGATTAAATTTGTTTCAAATTTTCCCACGGCTTTTTATCAGTTAAAGAAGCATTAGAAAGCAGCAGGGAGTACCCTATAGCTGTTTCGCCCCTAGTCTTTGACTCTTCATCAGCACGCACCCACTACCAAGGTTCGAATCAAGGACCTTCCGGTTACAAGAAAAGCTCGTTGACCATTCCGCCCACTGGGAACTCAACTCAACGGCCAGTCCATGAATTTAAACTTATATCAATTGGTGATTTTAGCGCGATCATCAGTGAATGTCAACCGCGGCGAGTATTTGTGCTTACTCCCGACCGGGTGGAACCCCATCGGTCACAACTTTTCACTACAACCCAGGTAACTACCCACCTCAATAGGGTTAGTCGCCGGTGAGCATCGAGTGTTGGTTTTCAGGGATTTAATTTGATTGGTTACAGGGTGTCATTATAAGCAGAAGTTGTTATTCATGGGCCATTGGGTCGGGTCCCAGTGGCTCAATGGTCTACGAGCTAGCTCACCTTGCAACCAGAAGGTCCTGCGTGCGTACTGATGAAGAGTTCGAAACTAGGACGAAACAACTGTTCAGTACACCCAGCTGGTTTTACAACGGTTCTCTAACCGATTTCATCTCATCATGTAACCAGTCAAATCCATGCAAACCAACCTTACATGTCGTTTATGGACTGTGACTGTATACTTCACAGTATGCTATAGAAAGAGTATATCTACTTGACGACTATACATTGACAGAAAGGCAGAAACACTTGCCGACACTTTATTAAACATGAAAAGAGAGAATATGAAACCAAACTGGTTCACAAAAAATTGATCTTTTATGCTTGTTACGAGACTTCTCAGAATAGTAGGTAGGTAGATAATATAAAAGACAGTTGGATTAAAAATGTAGCATCGATATATTTGATGAAATGTTGAAGGAGCAGAGCAGAGCAGAAGGAAGGAAGAAAAATATACACAGTAATATACAACACACAATAGGAATGGTACATAATAATAATAATAATAAGTAATCAATTATCACTAGTCCATATTTTAATTGTCTTATCACCTTCTAAAGACCCGGAAGCAATCATATTCATTTGTGGATGACAAGCCGTACACAGAGCAATATCTATGTGAAGAATTATCATCATAAATTAAGGCTGACAAACCTGTATGCCCAGAAAGTTTTTGTACAATTTCTTTTGTTTGTAAATTCCATAAATAGATGAGATTATCTTCAGAGCCTGAGACAACCCACTAGTAGTAATATTTAAATATTAAGAAATTAAATAAGGAAAAATTACAAATAGGGAACATACCTTGCCTCCAGTAACTGAAAAATTGGCAAATATACAGAATTTCTCATTTTTATGTCCTCCATAGGTTTTTAAACATCTACCCTTTGTATAATCCCATAATTTAAGACAACTATACATTCAAACCACAATAATAATAACTTTATATTACCTGTCAAGTGTTGCAGCTAAAATATACTTGCCATTCGGGGAGAATTTAACAAACGAAACAGGCGGATTATCATCATCTTCAAGAAATGAAATGTAATCAACTAAATTACCTATTAAAGTTTTTAAACATTGACCGGAACCAGTATCCCATATTCGACTAGAAGAAGTGAAATGTTGTAAATATATAATCGCCTACCATAATCCATCATAACTGCTCGAGGCAATGAGTGAACCATCACGATTAAAATTAACCTAAATAAGCGTGTGTGTATATTCAGAAAGAGAACTGCGATTCACGCTTACAGCTGTCACTGGATCTGAATGAGCCGGTAAGGTGCGTATACATCGACCAGTTTTAACATCCCATAGTTTAACACTTTCATCAAACTAATGAAATATATTAGTGTGCATTTTAATATTATTAATAAGAATACAACACCACTTACAGAACCAGAGACAATCAGATTTGACTGTGGATTGAAATTACAACAGAAAACATAATTGCTATGACCTTTAAGTGTTTTTAAACACTTTCCAGTGACTAAATCCCATAATTTCAAGGTTTTATCATCAGAAGAACTGCACAGAAATCTTGAATCATAAGACCATGAAACATCTGAAATTCCCTTTATTATATATATAGGGGGGAGGGGTGGGGTTAAAAAGTAAACAAAAAAACTACCAATTTATGACCATTGATAGATTTTTCAAATTTTCCATCATAAGCATTCCATATTTTGATAAGTTTATCTGCTGCTATAAGTATGAATTTTGGGGGGGGAGGGGAAGCAAGTAATTTTTCAATTATTGAGTACTTACATGAACTTGCTAACCATTGACCATTTTCACTAAACTTTATAGAAGATACTGCTTTTGTATGACCAGTTAGAGTATATTTCAAGGTGTAATTTGGTGCCTTTCAGAGAAGAATAAATATAATTGATATGATGATATATTAACTAAATGCCTTACTTCATTGCTGCTCATTTTGCATGTGAAAAGTTGAGTTTTAAGGGGGGTCTGTGTAAAGAAAAAGAAAAAAATGTCTATTTATATAATACTACAAATGATATTTAAAACAAGCAATAAAGAAGGTTAATAAAGCAGGATTTAATGGATTCATCAAATTTCGGTAGAACTCGTCAGCTGCTCAGTACTCTACATACACGGTATATATATATATATATATATATATACATTTGAAATTACATTGGGAGATATAAGACTGATTAGCAAATAAACTACATTGAATTAGTCATGCAGAAAGACAAGTGCGAATGTTTTCCAGGTCATGTTCAAATAGATAAGCGGAGAGGGGAGTAGGAGAGATTGAAATTTAGATAAAATGCATTACACTTCAATTACATCACTTAGATAAACAATTAGTCATTAGAGAATATAACAAGAATTGCAAACAGAATAATATCAGTAGTAGTAGTTATAATAACAATAATGTTGAAGTGAGTTAAGATAATGCTACTGATAAAGGATAGTTTTAAATGAATCAAGAATAATAATAAGAGGTAGAATAATAAGTAAAACGTATTACCATGGTAGATTCAGAGTGACGACCATCTCCTTTTGTACACAAAGACCTGGTTTATAAACTCGAATTGCACAAGCCTCTGCAATTGCAAGCATCTTCCTGTTTCTTTGTCTGCTGACAACAGTGAATGACTTGACAGCGTCGATATCATACAAATGAGATTTACTTTAATATGTAACAGTTTTTAGTGATTGCCAGTGTATCACACTGATACGAAAACAAGCATTAGTATATTCTTAGGAAATTCTTGCTGAAAACGCTTTCTTTTAAAAAAAAAGTGCATTCAGATATGCCGAACATAAAAGCATATTTTTATCAATGAAATTCGTAAAACCATGGATCAGATCATGTACTAGAGCCTAGGATAGGTTAAATTCAAATTGCTGATATTTCCTTCTGTTCTCAAAATGTGACGATAGTTAAAATATGAACGTTTTATTTCAGGAAAATCTATAGTTTATCCTTAGTGACAAAATTTACTTTGAAACTCATCGGGAATATGAATGAATATTCTAGGGATCTAGTAAAAATAAAACCTGAAAGGAAGTCATTATTACACAGATTGACAACAACAATATCGACTTGAACTACTTTTGTAGAAAATGTAAAATAACGACAATAATCGGAGTTCCTAATGATTGATAAAATGTTTACACCTAATTATGTCATTTATTGTATAGAAGAGATATCTGACTATGCATCAAGCATCTTCTTTTGTGCTCCTCACTCTGTGATCATGAGGTGTAATAAACAACTGAAATGCAGGAGTTCCCAGTGATAACTGTCTCTTATTTCATCTAAACTGGAGCCAATGAAGAAACTGGTTACTTCTAAAAAAGATGTTTGCGTATATCCCAAACCCCGTAACATTACTATATTAGTGCCGTATAAAACAGGGGGAGGAATAACACTAATTGAATAACTACGATCTAAAAAAAATCAACAATAGCTAACACCTGTCAGCTATTTAGGCTTATTAATAAAAACCGGTCGTAAAATCCCACAGTCTGACTGATTGACTGGTTTCAGCGTAGAATTTTGCGCTGATGTGCAGCAGTTCGAGTTGCCATTCTCCCTCCTTGTAGCACACAAACCAAGAGAAAGTAAAGAGAGATAATAAACAGAAATATGAGGCAAAAACGATAGGATTTTATTGGATATGATAGATCATAAAGAGTGAATGCATCTGCGCCACTAAGAACGACTCTGAGCTATATCACCAATTGTCTTCAGCCATTGGACTTTGCCATCCCGAGGACACCAACCAGGAAGTCTTCACCTCCCTACGCGGCTGCCTTAAACTAACTGTTGTGGATTTCACTGACCGATAAAGCCATGTTTTGGTTTGACCACCACTAGCTCTTTTACAACCTTATTGATCCTATGTCAGTCAGCTAACATCACCCGTAGACGAAGACGATGGCTAGGCACGCGCTACCCATGTTCTAACCATCACAATCGGTGTAACTTCACAACCTCGTTGATTGATTTCCTCTCCTTACCTAGCACTCGACCGAAGCCTAACTTCAGTAATGCTCATCTTATTATACCACTTCACACGGGAGATAGAATAGAGACACCTATGATCAAAGACAGCTAGCTAGCCTTCTCATGTCTTCCACTCCCAATAGCCATATCTCGCTCACAGCCATAAAGGAGGACAGAGAAAACT